AGGTAAAAATTGTTCATATCGTCAGTTAGCTTAGTTTCTTCCCGTTAAGTGAGTATGACACATTCATAGTTTATTACATTTTAAGAAGCCCTGAGACACAGTTTCTGCTGGCGGGGGCTACGGGGCTTAACAGGTTCACTATATTTTGATGACAATACTTTTCTGCTTTTACTTGAGGAACATTTTGAATGCAAGACTTTCACTGTAACAGAGTATTCCTACACTCTGGTACTTCTACTTTTACTCAAGTACAAGATCTGAGTACTTCTTCCTCCTCTGAACGGTACCTGATGTTTTCCGTTGATGAATCTGATGGTTGGAGGCAGGTTGATGGGAGAAACGTCGAAGGGATGGGAGTCTCCGCTGCCCTGCCCACCTTCACCACTCATCTGAGAGAAGTGTGTGATCTGATTGAGCTGAGACTGAGGCTGGTTCAGGATGTTCAGGATGTCATCCACTGGAAAACAACAGGACACGGACATATTAGTACAAAATGCAGATAATAAAGAGGTATTTCTTGCTCTCGTAGCGAAACAAAGAGTCGACCCAGAGATAATTAATGTACCAACAGTTTTTGTAACTTTTTTAAGAAATGTACCAAAGTTTGTGTTGCTTTATATATTCCATTGACAGGGTTTGACACTTTCCCCTAATTGATATTAAGTAAACTGAGTAACTTTGAGTGTTGATCGACCACAAAACAAGTCACGCTTAGTTTTGGGCATTTTAGAGACAAAGACGGTTCACTACAAAGATCAGCGACAGTGAAAATAACCATTTGGTTCAGCACTAAACTCAAATAAAGCAGCTGTATCTTAACTTGGCCAAACTAAATGAATAATATCATGATTTTAATCGTAAAAATCCAATTAAAAAGTCATAAGTTTCCTAGATTCAAGGAATGTTTCTGAACCTTGACAAGCCAATACAGTTTTCGGCTTCCAGAGACTAAAACATTTCTTTCTCTAGAGCGAAACAATGACTGGATTGACAGAAAATGTATTTATCTATACTTTCTGTAGTCTTTAAAGCAAAGGTACCAAGGTTTAAGAACAGTAACAGCCACTTCTCTCAGACATTATGGACCCCTGTGACCCCTGTGACCCCTGTGACCCCTGTGACCCCTGGTCCCATGCCTGATACAGACAAATGTAGGGACTGTGTTTGAGAAGTTGTTAGTTACGGCTATTCAGGCAGCTCCCTGGAGAAAGGACAATTAGGGTAAAACATTTGTGGTTTATTTGGCTCTCTCTACAAAATACAAAGCCCTTTAGAGGAGGCTAATCACCCCATGGGACCACCAGTGTGTCTTTGTGAGAAAGAGAAAGAAGGTGAAGTGAAAGAGTATTTGCTCTGATATATCTGACTATTCATGAGGCTGCGTTTCCCGCCTGGAGACTCTGGGATGTGTTTACAATATGCTGAGCGGGGGGATGACTGACTTCATAGCTTTTTCCACATCTGGCTCTGCTAAGTGTGTGTGTTTGTGTGTGTGAGAGTCTGTCAGCATGCACGACCTGTAGCTGTTTCCTAAGAAGACAACAAACAAAACCAAATCCGAAGCAGCGGCATAAGTCCTCAACGGAACAGAAACAAAAATTGAGGTCGAGCAGAAAGATAAATACTCTCCGTGACAGATTCATCCGTCAAATGAGAAAGTATAAGTGGGGGAGGGGAACTACGTCAAAGTAAACATGATGGAAATATTAATATAGAGTCGTTTTGGAAAGACATGTCAAACAGAAGAATCTTAGGGTTAGGGTTGGATTGTTGGGAAAAACTGGTTACTGTCCGCCATATCTCCACATTACTACGTCTGAGAATCCCACAGCATCTATACTGATGTTTAAACAATCTGTATTAACGTCATGGTCAATGTGTTAAACCAGCGGGTAATTAACTGTCAATCATATCAGAGATTGGCCATACCATTTACCACTTTGTTAGCCAAGAAGAAGCATTTGCTTTTACAGTATAAAATACACAGTAAAACAACAATCAGCAGCTCTGCAGTTAGACATTTGGTGAAAACACGAAGGAATTGAGGAATACACTTCCAGAACTGAGTGGAACACTTTAAGAAGTCTTTATTGTACAATGCCATGTCTCTTATGCTGCTGCTGCTGCTGCAACACAACCATTTCCCAAATTGGGATCAATAAAGTAATATCTTGTCCTATCTCTTATCTTAAGTATGACAGCAGTGGATTAAGTTTTCCTTTAACTCACCTGATTGGTTTCTGTCCTTCATGTCGACGATGATGAGATGGAAGGGCGTATTGCCTGAGGAGGACTCCCTGGCCACAGGAATGGCCAGCGAATGGTCGAGCTCAAACGTGGATGTAGTTCCTGGGGTGACGTCCTCTTTAAAAACAACAGCGGGTTGCTGACCCCCCTCTATGCTGCTGGCTGGTACGCTTGGTTCAGGGGTGGGGGTCTCTGGAAGAAGATGCAATGGTCTCTGTGTGGTTTCTGGGGTGATGTCTGGAAGAGAACTTGGTCTCGTTGTGGTTTCTGGGGTGATTTCCAGAAGGGAACTTGGTCTCGTTGTGGTTTCCTCCCAGCCTTGTCCCGGGGTCACCATCGCCCCACTGTAGCTTCCCTCACTGCTTCCTCCCTCCCCACTTCCACTGCCGGACCCCACTCTGCCTCCCTCCTCCCCCCCATGGGAGATATCGAGTTGTGGAGGCTGCACGCGGGTGGTCGGTAGCGGAGGCAGCTTCATGGGGGGCAAAGTGTCTCCTCTACCTGGTAACGCCTCTAATACGTTGGTGTTGAAAAGTGGAACGTCGTAGTCTATGAACATTGGAGTGGGGGTCCCGGGGGCCAGAGTCTGAGCGGAGGTGTGTTTGGAATATGTAACGGGATCTTCGGTTTGGATTTCAGCTCTTTCTGGCATGAAGACTGGTCCGGGTGTTGGAGTGGTTCTTTCTGGGATGAAGACTGGTCCGGGTGTTGGAGTGGTTCTTTCTGGGATGAAGACTGGTCCGGGTGTTGGAGTGGTTCTTTCTGGCATGAAGACTGGTCCGGGTGTTGGAGTGGTTCTTTCTGGGATGAAGACTGGTCCGGGTGTTGGAGTGGTTTTGGGGCGTTCAGTTATATATTCAGTGGGCATCATCGGAAGACTTGTAGTCGTTGGTTCGGGTAGCTTAGCTGCAGGAAAAGGAAACAGAGAAGAAGAAAGAGGGTTTAAAACCTCAGCAGTTTTCACCTTTTTGAAATTCAGACAAGAAGACTGTAATGCTTGATTTGTAAAGATGTTTCTGAACTTGAATGCCTGAAGAGTTCCCACATTTGTGGTTGCTAAGACTTATGGTTATTTAAGTATTCTCATTTTTATATGAATTTAGTATTAAAGACGATTTCATTTTGCTATTCTATTGACTTTAAAGGATGTCACCTCTTCTGTATTAAAGTAAATCTTGTTTTTACACCTACTGAGGTTTATTGCATTTGGGTAGTTTATATTTTCACTGTTAGGTCTCTTTGAAATCCATCCCAATTGTGCTATGGGACAAATATCTGGTGTCCTCGAGAGGTTTCTGCCATTACTACATGTCACTTAAAATTAGCTGCCTTAAAAGGTAAGAACTCGGCTAAAACTTTTGGTACGTTTTGGAAAATTCCCAAAAACAAAGTAACCTCATTTTCCGCCGGTTGGCTGAAATACTGGTCCAGAAAAAGCATCCAAAAATATCAGAAACAACATGCTTTCAGAGTGAATCAGTATTGTTGTGACTCATTCAGAAAATAAACCAGCACTATCTGGAAAAGGCTAATCATGGAGACATCAGACTGCAGACTTTAAAAGGAAACGAAACTTAATTTTAGAAACATGAAGTAACCATGGTTGCAGAATAAAAACAGTTACTAATAAAAGGTCTCAGTGTGGCTGGACTCGTGTTATACATTCAGTCGAGTTGTGCATTTCACTTATTGGTAATTATTTGTATGTTAATAGAAAGAGGATGAAACCCTCTTTATTTTGTCACACAGTGAAATTGGACCTCTGCATTTAACCCATCATAGTACCGGGAGCAGTGGGCAGTTATTGTACAACGGTGGGGGTTCGGTTGCTTGCTCAAAGGCACCTTGGCAGTGACCAGTCCACACTGGTCCAATCGGGACGTGAACCCTAGTTGAAAGTCCCTACAGACGGTAGTGCAATTGGGCCAACAAAAACACAAAAAGTATACATTTAAAAAATATATATTTAAAACTATTTCTAAAAATGTTTTTTATTAATTAATGCATTATGTTTTTAATAATATATACATATTAAAAAAATGTAATAAAAATGTAAATAACTATATATTTTGTATTTATTTATTAATGCATTTAATTAATTACGTAGTGGTTTCATCTGGTCTCCATCCCACTGTCTAATTTAATCCTCTCTTCTATTCTAAGTGATATCTTGTTGTGTTTCTGTCTAACGTTGACTTCACAGTCGTCTTCCTAAATCCTGAATGCATCTTTCTCCTCCTAACACGTTATTTACAGCAGACCATAAGGCTTTCGTTTCTGCAGCCACAGATTTACATCTTGTTATGATGGGATACATATGAGAGGAAGCTGAACAAACAGCTCTCTGTGTGCAGCTGACCTCATGCAGTCCTGGGGGACAAAATGCTTCAATAAACGCCACGTAACTCCCTCCCTACCTACGGTGCCGTTAGGCGGGGTTCCCTTTTCTGTTTCCCCCTCCTCAGTACGAGCGCTACTGCTGACTTCATGCTTCTTTATACCTCTCCACTTCATCTCAGGAACACATATTGTACTTTGACAGATACAGGACAAGACACAACTATGATTATGCATACAAACACTTGGACTTAACCAGGGTTTTCCAATCGTTTTTGCTTGCAACCTAAACCTGCTAAAATGCCATCCAAATGTAACACAAACAAAAATCTACTTTTAAATGAAGCAAGAGGTACTTTAGACATTAGGAGGACGTAAATAAGCCCATTTATATATCATGTAACAACATGACATTTTTATTATTATTATTATTATTATTATCATGTATTTATTTAATATATATAATATATTTTTACTTTTTCGAAAGATTTTTTATTTTTAAATGTTTAGTCCATTTGGATTTAAGGAACATGATAAGCCATGTTTTTTTGTTTTCTTTATCCACTCTTTAGCTAAAAACTACATTAAGTCAACACATAAAACCATATTTGATGTAACCTCTCCCCCCCTCTCTCTGGAGGTGTTTCCAGGTTCGCTCTCAGGGGGTTTCTGCTCTATATCCTGCAGACCCTACCCAGAAGTGAGCTCATGTGTTTGGGGGGCTGTGGGTCCTTAGACTGTCACTAACTGTACATTAACCAAAGCCCAACAAACCCCCCCCACAGGTCCTGAAAGTACCTTCACTTTCTGCCAAACCTGTTTGCATTTAAATCATCTGCAAAACATCACACTGAAGAATACTGAAGAATACTGCAAGCACTAATGACCAGGGGAGAAGGAGAACTCAGATCTTGTACTTGAGTCAAAGTAGAAGTACTCAGATCTTGTACTTGAGTAAAAGTAGAAGTACTCAGATCTTGTACTTGAGTAAAAGTAGAAGTACTCAGATCTTGTACTTGAGTAAAAGTAGAAGTACTCAGATCTTGTACTTGTGTTTTTTTCTTTCTGTATGCTTGTTAACGTAGGAAAACAATGTACCCTGTGACTTTACACCAGTGTTAATGATGACGTCTATGTGTGTTTGGTTTGTCTCCAGCTGTGCAGCATTAGGGTCTCTCTCTCTCTCTCTCTCTCTCTCTCTCTCTCTCTCTCTCTCTCTCTCTGTGTTCGAGGGACTTTCCCCTCATAAAGACAGAGTATATCCTGCTGCTGTTTGTCCTCTCGTCTGGACCTCTAAGCAGCTGGTCTTGCTGCAGATAGTTATTGAATTGCTCTTTTTACTGCACTGTTAGAGTAAAGTCTTATTATTATGCTGCTGTGTTATAGGTCTTAATGTATTTCTGTAACTCGGGCACAACAATTTCCTTCGGGATAAATAAAGTCCTTTCTTATCTTACCTCTTATTTTTAAGTCAACTAATTCAACTGGTATTTTAATGGACCAAAGCCAGTGGAAGAACAAACCACCGTCTCTTTAAGAAGCAATCTAACCTATTTTCTGTGTGAATTGGATGTTTTACTGTTTATATTGAGGGCTATTTTATCTGTTTTGCCACTGCCAAAGACACAATTCCATGATATGTTTTAATACAATCTGAATCTTGTGACTTCATGAGTTAAATGTCTCAGGGATTTGGACTTTTGGAAATGGGTGAGCCTGCAGAAAGGTGGAGCACTACACTAAGAGAGAAACAGCTAAATGTGTAGCTACAAAAAGCACTGAAAAACAAAACAAAATCTGTTTGTTTTTGTTCTAAATTCACATTTTTCTATACTAGATTTTTACTGGATTTTGCTCAAATGTCATGCTTTTTTTCAAGGCTCAAACTTAGTGTGTTGTGTTGAGACCCTCTTGCACTTTTGTTGGCCATTGACGTCCAGACCAGGTGAGTGCTGACTCATTACCAGGTTTGGGACTCGTTCCTGCCCCTCTATCTCACCTGTGTGTGTTTCCGTCTCACCTTTAAAGCAGTAGAGTCCGTGCTTGTCCTGGGGGTCCGGGAAACCCGTCTGGTTCTGGTGTTTGTAGAGCGTGCGGACCCCCAGCTGGCCCCCCCCACACTGCGGCAGCGGCACGGTGACCGGGTGTCGAACGCTGCCGTCCGACAGCCAGCCGTAATCACAGCGGTTGAATCCGGATCTCCAGGCGGCGAACAGCTGACCCGGAGAGGCCAGAACAGAGCCGAGAGAGAGGCAGTGGAGTCTGGACTCCTGCAGAGAGAGTTTCTGACTGAGGGAGGCGGGGAAGAAGAGCTCGCCTGAGGGGGGAGAGAGAGGAAGGGTTAGGACGTAGATTTACGGAGTTAGAATATTTAGGAATGTTTTGAAAAATAATTTGAAATATTTATTTAAAAAAAACTATATTTGGAAAAAAGTGTGAACATTTTGAAAAATATTTGACATTTATATTAAAAAAAAAAATGTATTTTGATTAAAGGCTTGAAATATTCCTCTTTTTCAATAGTTTAAAGGAAATACATTTAAAAAAATACTTTTTTGTCAGAATATTTAGAGATGGCAAGATTGTAAAAAAAATTAAAAAAAATATTTTTTGGTAAAAAGTTGGAACCTTTTGGAATATTTAAAAAAAAAAAAAAATACCAAGTTCAATAATATATTTAAAAAAATAGGATATTGTACTTGAGTAAAAAAGTTACAAATATATATATCTTTGGAGAAAACTTCTAAAAAATATTAAAACATTATATAAGAAAGTTGGAAAATGCTGCATCGTCTTCATGTTTGCTTCTCTAATCCATCTTATTGCATTGTGTGTTTGTTCTTATGCTTGAATTTATACAATTTTTAGACACAATTGTTTACTTTATACTTTTACTCCAGCTTCAGTAACTATAGCTACTTTACAATTACCAATACTAATAAACTAAGGAATTATGATATTTACTAATCATAACTTCTACTTGTAACTGGGTGTTTCTAAACTGTAGTATTGCTGCTTTTACTGAAGTAAATGTCTGAGCACTTCTTCCATCTCTACTTGTACTCTTTACCGTGTAGTTTGTCCACGTAGCAGTACACGTCGTATTTCTCCTCCGGCTCTCTCAGGCCGTACGTTCTGACTCCGGGTCGATTCAGAAGATTTCCTGCACAGCCGGGACGAGGCTCGACTATCGGGTAACTGGGGAGTAAACAAACAAACAAACAAACAATGAACAGATAAACAACACATGAAACCTCCAGTCTATAATTGAGTAACTTCTGACTTTCATTTTGTAAAAAAAAGTCAAATTCTGAGAAAAAAGTCAAATTTTGTGAAAAAAGTCACATTTTGTGAAAAAAGTCAAATTTTGAGAAACTGACAGTCAAAACTGAAGAAAATATAATACTAGTACTAATAATAATACTAAACTGAACAAAAAGAGTGAAATAAAGTGTATCTGTGTCAGAATAAAAACTATGGATCTTTATATGACAAAATACTTAAAACAAGTGTTTGTGTGTTGGAAACAGATTGAGATTTCTTAATTTTAGATAATTTTTACCCTCATAAAAAATCTCATAAAACATGTGGAAAAAGACTTGCAAAGACACAGATTTCTGGTGTTTATGTATAGTTAAGTGCCCCCACCTGACGGTCTGGTCAGAGAGCCAGCCGGCGTCACATTGGTCGAACCCGTCCTCGAACGCAGCCTGCAGTTGACCCGGTGAAGCGATGGTGGCGCCGGCGTGTGCACAAGCCTCCACGGCTGAAAGGAAGTCCAGCGTGTAGCGGCTGCTGTTCGCCCGGTAGTGGAAAACAACGCCTGCGGAAACACCAAGAAACACCGTCAGAGAGAGAAGCTGGGAGAAAGGCTTAAAGTCCAAAGGTTCATGAAGGAACTCTTAAAATAGACCCACGGATTCAGGGGATAATCTTAAAGGCATATATTACAGGTTTCAGATATATACAAATCATGTCTATGAAGTGTTTTGCTCAAAATATCAAACAGATCATGCATTTTAGACATCCACCATATCCCTCTATTTCAGCCCTGTTACTAAAGTGCTGATTCTGGGTCATCTACAGACTTTTGCAGCAGCTTTTAGGTGGCTACAGGCACGTGCACACATAGACATCAAAGTGGGCACTTCCTCCAGAGAAAGTGCCCTTTTTATGGGGTGCTTTAAAAAAGAAAAATGTTTTATTTCAATATTTTTTTTAATTATAAATGACTATATATCTATTGCTTTTTGGGCACAGTTTCCCTTTCTATAAATATATTGATTGAATACAAATAAAAAATATCAGGTCGGGAGATTAGACTGAACGTTTTCTTTCCATTGGAGAGAAAGGAAACATGCAGCAAAATAGACCAAAATCAAATACATTTCAACTTTTGAAGCTTCTGAAGCTTTCCGTGGAAGCGTCAGCCAATCAAATCATATGCCAGTACAAGCTCTAGCCAATCAAACCGTTGCTTGTGTGTCAGGGGCGGGAGATTCATGTGATTGGTTGTTGGTCGAGCTTCAGACACGCCCGCCGGTAAGCTTTTTTTGAAGCTGTAGTGTGGACGGGCCGTGAGTGTGTGCGTGAGGAAGTCCGTGGATTGGTCAATTTGGACCAATCAGCGGGGACTTAACGTAACGGCTCCGTGGACGTAACGTAACGGCTCCACGGATTGGTCCATTTGGTTCCGGGTACGGGTTGACATCATGTGTACCCGGAAGAATCAAATGGACAATGACGTATCTTCAACGAGGCGTTTTGGGGAAGTATTCTCTGTGTTACGGCCCGTCCACACACAGGCATGAAAAAAATCTTTCAAAGCTTCGCCCATTCACTTGAATGGGGTGACGTAGAAGATTTTTAATCTTCGCCGAACTGCATTGTGGGGAGCGGAGCATGGCTTTGCAAGCATCGTGAGCATCAAAAGTTGAGCAATGTTCAACTTTTGATGCTCCCAATGCTTGCGAAGCTGGCATCAGCCAATCAAATCCCGTTAATGCAAATACCGCCAGTGCAAGCAGGGAGGGCCAGACCGCAGTTCATTTCCTCATATTCCAAACGAGAAATTACGGTAGCAAATCACCCGGTTCTTTACGACCAGAACTATTTACCGGGATACAAACCGGAGGAACCAGGCATGGAGGGAGGTGGCAGAGACAGTGGGTGAAACTGGTAGGTTTTCACCTGTTTGGAGAGTTTATATCCAGTTTACTTCGTTTTAACATTGCTATTGCTTTGTATGTCGGGGGCGGGAGATTCATGTGATTGGTTGTTGGTCGCTTTGCTCGCAAAAAATCGCAAAGCTTCAGACACGCCCAGCATCAAGATTTTTTTCATGCCTGTGTGTGGACGGGCCGTTAGAGTTTTACTCCCTGCAGGGTGTACTTTGAGGGTTTGTGACTCTGCAGACCGTTTACATGCCGAAAAACCTTCATAACACAGAAGGGGACGGGTCAGAACCAGAAAAGCATGGCATGGGAGCTTTAACTTTTTTTTTTACTTCTTTTTTTAGAGTGCCCTTTTTCTCAATTTAGCTCCTGCCCCTCAAAATGTCTGTGTGCACGTCCCCGGGTGGCTATGATATGAAGAAAGCTGAAGATAACGTGGAAGAAATGAATAAAGACTGTCCTTTTCTCCGTCCTGCTCTACCTTCATTACACAGATATCATTATTACAGATTCCTGAATGAACCGGAGACCTTCAGTTAACGAACGGAGCAGAATCTCAGTCATTTATCCGTCATCGTCCTCAGAAACACAAAGCTGTCATTAGCTCCTTTATTCCCCACTGGACGGACGGAGGAGTTTTATTATCATCCGGGCAGAGGAAGTGAATGGAAGTGAAATAGAGAGTTGTGTGTCTGCTATAATGAGTCTTTGTGTGTTTGTGATGCACAAAGAGTCCTGTCAGAGTTCATGTGGAATGTGTGGGAGAGACCCGGGGTTTCCACTGGAAGAAGAACCCGGAAAACACTTGATATTGACTACCGTTTCATAAGTGTCGAAAACACAGGAAATCAAGATGATATTATTTGAATCCACCGGTGGGGCGTTAGCTGACGGGGTGTTTTCAGGGTGCGTTTGTTTCCCTCACCAGTGACGCTGAGGCTGACGGTGTGCTGCGTCTCCTCCAGGCCGCGCGTCACCTGGCAGCGGAACAGCCCGGCGTCGCTGGCCCGCAGCCTCTCCAGATGCAGGGAGGCGTCGCCCACCGAGAGCGGGTGAGGCGCCACAGACACCCTCCCCATGTAGGCCTGCCCCACCTTCACCGCCCCGCCCTGCGCCACCAGCACCAAACCCTCCCCGGACGTATCCAGCTTCGTCCACTTGATCCTCAGCTCCTCCTGGGGGCCGGGGGTGGAGGTGAGGGGGAATGCAGGGAGGAGAGGGGGAGACGTGGGAGACTCAGTGGTGTGGGGGGGGATGGAGAAGAGGCAGGGAAGCACCCCCCGACCCGCCAGAGAGCCGGAGGCGTGCATCTGCACCGAGGGAGGGGGCACTGCAACACAATGTTTACATTTTTGAATGTTTATTTCAAGTCTTTTCATTTGTATTGTACAATGCCATGCCTTTTTATGCTGCTGCAACGCAAACATTTCATCTTACAACAGCTGCCATCAGTTGGTGAAGATGTTACAGGAAGACTAATTGATTCATTGGCAATGATGATTCGATGATGATGATGATGATGACTGCTTCATGGACATGCTCATAGTGAAACACCATAGTCAGTCCTCTGATCACCTGCGTTATCCAGGTGAGAATCACGCTCTGTTCTAGAGTAAACCGTAACAGCTCACCTGTGACAATACTTCTTAAGACCCTTAACCCCTGCTGCTGGGCCCTGTAGACCCCGTCCACAGAGCTGTAGGGCTGATGCAGCAGATCTGTCAAGAGAGAGAGAGAGAGAGAGGGGACACATTCACCTTCAACAAACACATGATGACATGATGTCACAGATTATTTCAAAAAGTCAAATTGTCAAAAATGAAACTCTCAAAAAAAGTTGTGTGAAATGGGTTCCGGAATTCTACGTTGTTTTGTTTTTGTTGTCAATTCCGGAATTGTGCGTAGGCCACGCCCACTTTCGTTTTTAACGTAAACTCCCCCCACTTTCACTTTAATGTAAACGAACGAAAATCGCTACATATATCTAAAGGCCCTGACACACCAAACTGACACCAAAGAACAGTTCCCGACGGACCCGACTGTTGTGTCGCCTCACGTCTCCTGCGTCATCGACGGCCAGACATCTATCGACGGCCAAAATCAGCTTGGTGTGTCAGGGCCTTAAGGTGCGGAGACGAACCAAAAAGCCTCTTGAAGGTGTATAAAAAAAAGGACAGGAGGTCGGCCATTTTGGATTTGGCAATGGAAAAACGAATGGATTTTACCCGATCGACTCCATGCCTCAACAGCTCTACGCCAAATCTGAGATCTAGCCATATGCGGTTTCCATGGCAACGCATCCCTCGCCCTAAAACACGATGTTGTCAGAACTCTTAGGAAAATCGTCCAAATGGCACCAGACCTCAGATCATTGCTAATGGTCCAGCCCTCAACATGACTATATGACAATTGTGAAGTTCGCTAAAACGCTGTTGCCATGACAACACATTAATCGCCATGAAAAACGTTTTTGCTATAACTTCTATGAAAATGGTCAAAAGGTAGTCAAACTTCACATGTGTACTAACAGTCCATTAGTGAAGATAACTACTTGTCAGTTTTGAGATTTCGTCAAATACCGTTGCCATGGAAACACAATGCTCGCCATGAAACACGGTTTCTCATAACTCCAGTGAACATGCTCCGAATGGCTAAAAAATTCACAGGTTTAACGATGCGGCCCTCAACACATCTAAGTGTATTATGGGGTGTCATCAAATGCCGTTGCCATGGCGACAGATCACTTGCCATCAAACACGATGTTTATGTTACTGCTGTAACTCCCATGTAGGTTGTCCGATCGGCCTGAAACTTCCCACGTTTGCCAACGGCCGATTCCTCGAGACAGCTGCGTGACATCGACGTGCGGACAACAGCGGACCTGCACGGCGTGTCGGAGACCCGCTCATCGCTACTTCCAGCTTTAATTATTATTATTATTATTTTTTTATATTTACTATTCTACTTCACTTTTTTAATTTGTACTGTATTTTATTCCTTATCTTTTATTTCTATTTTCTTATTTGTATTTTTTTTTTTATTATTTACTTTTATTTATTTGATTATTTCTTTCCAAAATTGTCATAAATTACCCCTGATTCTGATTGCTCTGCATGTCTCCTTATTACTCAAGCATCTCTAACATGTGTGTGTCTGCGTGTGTGTGTGTAAGTGTGTGTGTGTGTGTGTGTGTGTGTGTGTGTGTTTGTGTGTGTTGGAGTAATATTCACTTTCCACTTCGTCAGACTTGGAGCTGAATGTGTGTGTGATGTGTTTTAAAATCTACATAACAGAGAGAGAGAGAGAGAGAGAGAGGTGATGTAATGTTGTGGATGGATGCAGGATGGACTCACCTTGAGCGAAACTCAGACTGAGCGAGCAGAGCAGGAGGAGAGGAATCATCTCAACAACCTGCACAGAAACAGAGAACAGGAAGTGATATCGTTTATAAAAGGAGAAATATATCAACTTCTGATCAGTGTTGTGCAAACACAGGAAGAGAATTAAGTACTTTGACCCAATTCTGATATTCAAGCTAAACTTTAAAAGGTCAACTATAATGCAAAATCCACTTATTCATGTCTGCTCTACTTAAACATGTGTCCCTCTGTGTTAAGAGATTCTGAAAGTGTCAGGAACAAAGACCCCTCTCTTTCTGTCCTGATCCATCTTCATAAAAACCTGTCTGAAAATCAGCTGATCAGATGTTGGTCACTTTGTGATGTCATAATGTTTTTTTCAGTTGAGTAACCATTAGCCAATCAGCAACCAAGGTAACCCCCCCCCACACACCTTATCACCTGAATCTCCTCCTAGAGCACCATTGTGTTTTTTAAACCAATCATCTCTCAGAGGGGCGTGGCCAGCAGTAGCTCATTAGCATTTAAAGCTACAGACACAGAATCAGCCCTTTTGGAACAGGGCTGAAACAGAGGGGATTATGGGATGCTGCAATGATCTGTTTGGTGTTTCAGCCAATCAGAGACATGTTCCGTATATATCTGAGACCTGGAATGTATTGTTGAAAAAGAGTATAATAGGGGACCTTTAAGATAATTTATCTAAGTATCTTTTTATATTTGGTGCTTCTAGACAATTTTGATATAAACAATATTTTTCTCTTTCCTCCCCACCATTATTATCCAAATATTTGCCATGTCAGAAATGTCCCATTTGTTCAGAGACGCCTCCTGCCTCTCTGAACAGCTATTTCTTTCAGGCCACAACTTTCCTAATGCTTTGTCCTGATTGGCTGCACACCAGCTGTGATGTCACAGATCCTGCAGGTACGTCCAGGTGTTGAACTGAGAATCAAAGGTCGGAGAAACGTACTACTTCTGCAGATTGGAATCTAATTTAGTTCATAGTAATTGAACTACATTTTACTGATACATTTTCTACACTTTTACTGAAAATTTCACAAAATAACTTTTTTAACAGTAGCCTATGTATATTATTTTATGATACAAAATAATTACACAGTAACATATCTGTACAAATAATTTAATATTATAATATCTAATACGCTGACCGAGAAAAAGGTCTTTAAGTACATTTTACTGACATTTTATGCATTTTTACTCAAAAGTTACAGGAAAAAGAAACATGTTCTTTATTATTTAATCTATTAATCTATCTATATATTTTTTTTACATAAGAAATATGTAAACATTTTAAAAGTTGCAGAAAATAACCCCCCTTTCGTTTATCTGTGGATTATTTCGTCATTAATCAATAAAATGTCTTATATTAACATATAGACTGCTTCTTACTAAAGTCAAAGCAAAGAAATACATGATTTCATCTGACTGATAAGGGAAGCAGAGAATACATGATGTTCAACACATCTGCTCATTAAATTCCTCGTAGTAGTTATTAAAGCTTTACATCTAAGTAATTCTGTCATTGTGATCGTTTGTCAGTGCTATATGTTTTTGCATATATGTAGACATTTTATATTTACGTATTTAAGGAGTATATTGTTGCTCTAGCGCTCTTTTTATGCATTAATAAGTGTTACGCCCCTCTCTAGGGGTTTTATCGTGTTTTAAAAGACGTTTTATTAAAGTGTTTTTAGAGCCCAGCTGCAGCAGATCAGCAGCTGGGCTGATACAGATTATCAGCTGATCAGGAGGTTAAACTGCCAGTGGATTTAAATGGATGTAAATGGTCCCAAGTGTCACTTTTATCAATGGGAGTCTTATCGTTTGGTTTTTATCACTGTGGGAACATTCCTGCCCCCCAAACACGGCTCCTCCGGAGGTAACACACATGCAGATGCAGAAAGAAATGCGAATAAAGCGCAAAAACATTCGACAAGAAAACATTTTGACACATTTTAAAAGTTTAAGAGACAGGTACAAAAGCCACATCTTACCTTGAAAAAATTAAAAACTAAACAAAATCCAGCTGCTCCTGTTGGGTTATCACTTGAACACTTTCCGAAAAAAGAGAGAGATCTCCAGACAAGTCCCCGGATGTTTGAGACTGTGTTTCAGCTGCTCCTCTTCCTCAGCAAGTTCAAATCCACCGTAGATCCGATGTATCCCCGACATAAGAGAGGACACCGCCCCCAAAAATATACCGCCCAGTGCGGGGAGAGAGGGAGAGAGGGGGAGGGCTGGAGGAAGTGAGACTGGGGAAAGCCAGAGAGAGAGAGACATTCAAGGGGAACTCCTCTCATTAATGAGGGCATATCATCCTGATGATGTGCAGGTGTATATCAGTATGTAGTGTCTCTACTTTAAAGAGTCCTCTCCTGCTGATGTTCAGGTGTATATCAGTATGTAATGTCTCTACTTTAAAGAGTCCTCTCCTGCTGATGTTCAGGTGTATATCAGTATGTAGTGTCTCTATATCAGTATGTAGTGTCTCTACTTTAAAGAGTCCTCTCCTGCTGATGTTCAGGTGTATATCAGTATGTAGTGTCTCTACTTTAAAGAGTCCTCTCCTGCTGATGTTCAGGTGTATATCAGTATGTAGTGTCTCTACTTTAAAGAGTCCTCTCCTGCTGATGTTCAGGTGTATATCAGTATGTAGTGTCTCTACTTTAAAGAGTCCTCTCCTGCTGATGTTCAGGTGTATATCAGTATGTAGTTTCTCTACTGGGACATGTCTCCAAGTTTTAATGTTAAAAATATTCTGCCATCAAGGCGAGAGAATCCGTCATGTGACGAGGAACAACCAATCACAGCCAAGAGATATTTTTACTTATGTAAACATTAGTGTATGCCTCGCATCCTCGAAAACAACAAATGTGCCAATCAGAGATCAGTTCGCAGTCACTGCAGCACAGATGGTTTTAGACAGCAGAGATCACACATACAAAGAATAACTTTCAACACACAAACAACACATTCACTGTTTATTGGTTCAAAAATTACAATCACAAGTTTTTTTAAATTGTAGAAATCACAATTCACTTCCAGTTCATGAAGGTTATGGAAAATGGTGTACGTTTCCCGATTTATAAAATTATAATTTAAGGACATGTTAGTGGTTCCTAAGGGTGATTGCAGCGAGGATTAGAACGATTGTTAATGTTTATTTATATATTTCAACATTGAGGTTTGTATCTTTCTGCTTTTTTTTACAGAAATAAACCATATTTCTGCACCTCAGCTTACACACTCATCAAATGAGAAAATCTAAATCCTAAAATACAAAAACATCGTCAGATGATCATTACAAATCAGGTGAAAGTTTATTATCTCTACAGCAAAAGAGTCTCCAAGAAGGAGTCGGATATGACCTAGTGCAAACCTGCCGTTTCACCTTCATGTATCCCCATTCTTTATGTTGTAACAGGAACAATCCCTTTCAAATTATTTAGCTGCCATCCCTGACCCTTTAACACATAAATCCAGTATACAAACGATCCACCACCCAGTGTCCTCTCTCTGTGCAGTCCTGAGGAAAGAGAGTGGAAGTCAACGGATCAAAAGTCATCAAACAGGTCCTCTACTGCTGCAGCCTCTGTAGAGCGGCGGGGGGGCGGCTGCTGCTTACTGGATCCTGCCGGGGGGTTGCTCCCACACACACACACACACACACACACACACACACACACACACACACACACACACACACACACACACACACACACACACACACACACACACACAAGTGGCTAATGAGGCTGGTTTACAGGACAGTTTTCCTGTTGAGACGGGAAGTGTATCATGTGGCCCATAAGGAACAAGACTAGAAACACATGGGCGGCTTTTACACCTGTGTGTAGAGAGTGTGAGTGTGTGTGTGTGTGTGTGTGTGTTTACATGTATGTAGTTGTGGCCCGGCAGCTCCCCCACCTTAATTGGTCTACATCAAATGCTGGACAGGACATGTTGTAGTCTCATGTTCTTGTTGAATTATGTGACACTGTGATGTTTAAGAGTCAGGAAACTAGATGTCAGAGGACGGAGGAAGGATTAGCGTCGGTAGCAAAGGAAAAAAAAGGCAATAAGGGATGAAGGGAGAAGTCAGAAGTGCTCTGTCCTCAGGCGCTAGCTTTGAAGGACTTAAATTGTCAGTATTAAAGAGAAACGTTGACATTTATGGACAATGTTTTTCTTAACTTGGGAATCTGGAATCTTAATTTCCAAAGTGCTTCACTGTGCCTCGAGTCACACGTGGGTTTTTCAAGAAGTTCAGGAAACAAGAACTAAGGTTGCGTTGCGTTAACAAACGTCATTACGTCTCTAGAGAAAGGATAGTGCCTCTTCTGTTTTCAAACATGCAACATGGAGTTACCCTCCGCGTCTGACAAAAAGCTACAACCGTTACAGCTGTTACGTTACGAAACTAACTAACTAACAAAGCTTAAGATGAAACATGTAAGGTTAACTTCGACCTCCGGGGGGGTCTCACTGTGGAGGAGTGGATGGAGCAGTGCCTATCTCCAGAGAGCCCCTAAACGACGACATGCAGAGCTACGTGAAGAGCAGGTAGACCAACTTATCGGAGAAAGTGGAGCAATATTCTCGCCACGCCAAACAACAGCCTGAACAACCTCAACCTATACAAGTGACCACGTAAGCCATGCTGCTGATGCTGGACAGGTTTTCAGTGGATGCACAATAAACAGCAACATACACATTAATGTAAATAAACAGCCAAACAATGGATCAACGCTCTCTGTCTAACATGTTCGCTAGCTGTTAGTGTTGTTGCATAGCAACCACCTCGCACTATGTTTCGTGCAGAAGACAACGGAGGGACTATTTTATTTTGAACATCATTATTTACTAATTTAAATTGGAGTGTGTATTTTTCTTTCATGTTGCCACACTTGGTAACCGTTTTATAAAAGGAAAATAAATATACGTCTCTAGAGACAGGAGAGTGCCTCTTCTGTTTTAAACCATGGAACACAGACATGTCTCCCTGACGGGTAGAGATACATCCCGAATGATTTCAGGACCAGAATACAGACAAACATATCAAGCCTTGAGTCACACATTGATTTTCCAAGAACTCAAAACATTCAGGAAACAATAAGATAAATTAAAAAAAGGAATAAACAAAAATGGGTTCTTCAAGAACTCAAGAAGTACGGAAACCAAAAACATAAACAAAATAGGAATAAACAATCGACTAAGGTTTCATAAAGTCAAAGTACGTCATCACTTCTCCAGAGACAGATGACCCGAGGACAGAAATCTAGAGAGTCCCAAATCGATTTTCAAAGAACTTCTTTTATAGAACCATATTTCGTTCAATTTCCTCCTCAGATAACTTTTTATTCTATTGTGAAGCACCTTGAGATGACGTTGTTTTTAAAGTGTGCTATATAAATGAAATGTATTATTATTATTATTCCTAATTGTTTTTATATGTTTCTAGTTATTGTGGTTTTTATATCTTGTTTTTGATTATTATTTTGTATTTGTTCCCTGTACAGCACTTTGGTCATCTGAGGTTGTTTTAAATGTGAGTTATATAAATATAAATAAAGATTGAGATTGAGATTATTCAGGTAAGCACGAGACGTCTTCCTGAACGAGAAACAGAGAGCAGAGGCCCTGATCTTTCTGTAAATCATTACCAACTGTACGACAAACTCTGCCTCACTGCTGGAACCGGTTAACAGGAAACCAGAGACGTGTTCGCTGCCACGGAGCAGGACCACCGCAGACCTGAGCCCCCCCACGGAGCTGCAGCAGGGCCACCAATTATGTTGCTGTTTCGTAGTTTGAAAAGTCTCCTATCATGCAAAATGCACTTTTATAATGTCTTCTATACATAAATATGTGTCCCCGGTGTGTCAGGAGCCTCAACGCCTGAACCTTTGAAAGAACACACATAACTTTCATCTGTTTGACTATTCTGCAGTTTCTATCATAGTCTGTTTCTATTATATTCTATAGAGTCCTCAGATTTTCATTGTCATAACTACACTGTAGCTACGCACACATGACAATAAAAGCATTGAAACATTGAAACAAAGCGTCAGAAAATAAAACCCTCTCTCTTTTCCTCCGTACCCAAATCTCTAAAAACGGGGAACAACGGAGCTGATCCAGATTTGCGTCCGATATGACGTAATATCTGAAATGTGGACCCACGGCCCTATCAGAAAGTTGCTATCAGAAACAATGCCCGACTGTTTTGGACGTAATATGGTCGGTGTTTACATTAGCATTGCTAACACTCAGAGCTAACCTGTACTGGAGAGCATGTGTGTGAAGAAGCAGGAAGTAAAAAGGAACTCACCTTGTGGTATAACCGGCAAGAGAGAAAGCCTTTGAGCTCCATACCGTTTCAGAGATAATCCTTGATAATCCATGATATGGCGTTTCATCACGGCAGTATTTAGTTTAGACAGTAGCTGCCGGGTCCCGCATGAGCTCAGCCCCCTCCTCTTTTTTTTAGAAATGACTTAGCAACTTTTATGCGGGTGGTGTTCAGGATCAAAGTTTAACTTTATTTCAATTTCATCGTTTCATAATCGAAGTTAACGAAAAGTTCATCTTTCTGCTTCTAATGGAGTAAGACGTCTGTAAAGTTATATTAAACTTTGTCTTCCTAATAACCGAGTTACATGAGTTCCACTGCAGTTTTCATTTCAATCACAGTCGTCTCAATAGGTGCCAACCATAATACAGTCACATAGTAGTAAAGTTGTCAAAAAATTACACGTCAAACAGTTGTACGATCGTTTAAAATCTATGTCCACTCTCATTCATTCATTCATTCCTTTCTATATTTTGCATTTGTTGTTTTGTTATCTCTACTTGCGTACATTTCATGTAAGTGACACTATTGTTATGAATTTTCAGGTGGATAGTACGATAAAAATCCGTTATCGTATCAGAGTCTGCATATTGTTTATATATTTTTGTTACAGAGACTTACAAACGAGTTCTTATGGTTTGGCTAAGTGGGCTAAGAATCGTCGGAGTCATAGGCGAGATAAAGTGAAGGACAAAGTTCTTCGACTAAACCCCATGATATATCTCGGGAGGTCTTTTTTTAGGAACCTAATCGCTAATTTGGTATGCCCAAAAATACGCACTTTAACGTCCTTCACGCTTTCTCGCCTTTCAACGCCTTTCTTTATTCTCAAAATTTTTTTTATAACGACAGAATAAATAAGAGAAGTGTGTGTTGGACGGCTGATTGCACTTTGGGACAGGATAAGTTAATTTGTGTAAGTTACAAATAAATAAATCCAA